CTCTTCCCAGGATCTGGCCCACTTAGTTCTTCTCTCCAATTTACTCAGGATTCTTTTTGCTCTACACCTTTCAATCTCTGCCTAGAAAATCCCAGTCTAAGAAGGCAACTCACACGATGCTAGTTTTCAGTCCTCTTTAAGAGGGTTGTGGAAACTGTGCCCACTCTGGTACAACAGAACAAATATATTCCTCATCCCAAACCAACAGCCATGCTTGCCAGGGTGGATGGGAACTGTAATCCGCTGACACACGCCAAGCCTGCTCCAAAGCCAACTCTTGCTTGACGCAACTCCTAACTACTACAGCTCCCATCAGCTCCAGCCAGCACTGCCAATGCTGAGGAACAAACATCTGGAAGACGGCACTTTACCCACCTGTCGCCCTAAACTAAAGACTGAATGTAAGTTCACTCATTAGATGTGGCAGAAGTATTTTCACCGATTAGGTGCTCCTAAGAAGCATTCTGTTTCAAAGAACCAAACAACTTTGCAATTGACTAGACTTCCAGGTTTTGATAAGCAAAACATTTGTCCTCACAAGCTGCTTGTTAAATTTAGCCACATTTTTCTGCCTTTCACTTCACTTGCTAATTATAGCAGCATCTATTACTCACAAAGTTGCCTACCATTAATGCACAATCAAGTCCCTCACACACAAACTCCAAAAACCCTATGATAAAGCCGTTTCCCAGTCCTGAACGAGAGAATGAACCTGCTTCACACAAGAGAGACGCCACTCCTCCTCTCATATTCTCTGGGCGTCCGCCGAGGAAAGGAAAGGGAAAATTAAGTGCGCACAAATGAAGTGTAGCATTAGGTGCCAGTTCAGAAGCTTATCCCCACAAATAGGCTACAAGGGCCTTATCCTGTTGGCAAGGATGCCACCAGCTGCATAATAAGACCTTCCAATTCGTAACTCTGATTTATGTATTCCTAAAAACAAGAAAAGCCATTATAGGAAGATTTAATCACATCTCCTATTTTAATTTCATTTCCAGAGGCTAAACCAAGCGCAAAACACTTTACTACGGTTAAACACAGGGCTGACCACACCAGCATGCTTCCAGGGTTTTCACAGCTGCACGATTGTCAGAGAGTTTAAATTACAGCATAGGCTACAATTCACCCCCAAGGGAGCAGGATTCAGCTCAGCCAAAGGCACAGAATATAAACATCAAGAGAGTCACACCCCTATGATGACAACTCAAGGACTGTTGCTGGATTGGTTAGGATTCCAAGGGATGCCCAAGAGGAGCAGAAAACTTTGCACAAGGGAGTCCAGCCTTATCTAAGAAGGACGACATGGTAAATCAAAGCCACACATTTTTGCTTTAAGAGTGTGGCCCCGTGCACACAATGATGTTTCATTTGGCCTCAGCTTCCACTGATGACAGACCTCTCTATTTGCATACACTGGTTTAACTTCATTATAAGTTGTCCAGGGTCCCAGTGATGTTTCATTTGGCCTCAGCTTCCACTGGTGACAGGCCTCTCTATTTCTGAGACAAGCAGAATATAAATCAAGTTACAGCAGTGGTACCAGAGGCAAAGAGCAGCAGCAGCAGCAAAAGTAATAATATTTGGAGGACTTTTCAAAGGACAAGAGATCCATCCAACAAAATCATGAGGAAGAAGATATGAACTAATTAACAAGGGCCCTTCTACCCTTTGAAACCTTCGTACAACACTGTAAATTGCCACTTGCCCGACCACCTGCAGCCAGAATGCCTCCAGCAAACTGGAAAAACGTAAGGATTGTGCTCAAAGGAAGTAACTGAGTGACACCAAGCATTGTGTGGCCAGATGGCCTGGTAACGTTCACGCACTTTTTTAAAAAAATGAAAGAACAGAAATCAAGATGCCACACCTTAGGCACCCTGACTGAGAAAGAGACCTGTAGAATTCAAAAGCTTGCATGTAGCATGACATACAATCATTATGTGCCATCAAATAGGAACAGACTAACAGCAACCCTGACAGGGTTTTCAAAGTAAGTGAATATTATGGCCTGGTAACGTTCACGCACTTTTTTAAAAAAATGAAAGAACAGAAATCAAGATGCCACACCTTAGGCACCCTGACTGAGAAAGAGACCTGTAGAATTCAAAAGCTTGCATGTAGCATGACATACAATCATTATGTGCCATCAAATAGGAACAGACTAACAGCAACCCTGACAGGGTTTTCAAAGTAAGTGAATATTTAAGGAGAGAACAGCAACCCTGACAGGGTTTTCAAAGTACAGTAAGTGAAATATATAAGGAGAGGCTTCACCAGTTGTTCCATGCCCCCAGTGAGTCTCCATAGCTGAATGGAGATTCAAACTCAGGCCTCCTGAGTCTATTCCGTCACTGGGAATCTCATTGCAAACAACAGGAGGTCCTAATAAGCAGAGTGATCCTTTGAATGTTGTTATAATGCAGTGATGAGGGATCACTAGTCCCTTAGGAGTTGTTCTGCATCATCCCAGCCTGTTGGCCATCTTAGTGAAGGATGATGGGATTTGCAGGGGAGCCATGTCTGGAGAGCTGCATGCTCCCCATCTGTGCTGTAATGGAATGCGACTCCCAGCGGCCTCTGTAGGCAAGATGAACCTTGAGCCCGTCCTGCTGTGGACCGGACAGGCAGGACAGACAACCAGGCCGAAACCCCTGCTCAAAGCTCACAGGACAAACTCTCACCACGCAGCCTGTCTAATGGGGATCACCTGGCAACAGTATACAGTATTTCTACATAGGACAGACAACCAGGCCGAAACCCCTGCTTGCTCACAGGACAAACTCTCACCACACAGCCTGTCTAATGGGGATCACGTGGCAACAGTATATTTCTACAGAGCTTTTCCTAAGCCATCCACCTTTTACCTCCAGGAACGTTTATGTCTTCCCTGCAAGTTCATGATTCAAACCTTGCATCGCTGCCCATCAAGTCTCTGGGTGGCATTTTAATCCTAGTATAAAGACAAAACAAAACAAAAGACCAGCCGTGTCTCCATAACACTTACTATGGTCTGTTGGGATATGTCTACTGCTTTTAGAACTTGAGCAGTGGTATGATAAAAACGTAGACAGGCTGCCACTTTTACTTATAGCCACACCATCAGGGGTCCATCTAAATATGCAGAGAAGATACTGAAAACCTGAGGTGCACCTTGCACCGCTCAAATGCTCAGCCTTACGAGGGCTCCCGTAAAAAGCACAAAGAGGAAACGCACATAAGGATTCCTAAGTTTTCAACACTGCGATTTAGAAATGGGAGATTTATAAATATCAGCACCTGCAAAGGCCAAAGCAAATGTATGCAGCATTAACACATAAAAACTCTGCCCACTGTATGCACACACATGCCAAAGATTTGTTACACAGGAATACGAAAAACAGAAAGCAGCATCCTAATCTCCAGCCAGTCCTTCAAGGCTGCTGAAATTATTCCCAAGAACGACAGAGAAGTCATGCACCAAATTCAAAATGCACCACACATACATGCAAAGTAAATGGTACACCCAGACAGCAATTCTTTCTTGGTCTGCCCTGAAGGGCTAACACAAGTCATCTTAAAAGCATACAGAACCAACATTGACAATGTCTCTCAACTCTCTGAAGTGGACCAGATATAAATGGCAAGGCGCACAGATGTCTATGACCCGGTTTGTAAAAGTACTGCACACACATCATACACAAGGTAAAGAGAGTGTCCAGCTGATTACCCCCATCTATGCAACCTGTGCAGCATAGTCTGAGTCTAAGTGACTGGATGGCGACAGATTGAGGTTCCAATTCCCATCAGGCAATAAAGCTCACTGGGAGGCTCACTCTGGGATTGACCCACCCCACCAGGTCCTTGTTGTGAAGGTGAAGCGGAGTGGAGTGCCATCTGCACCACTTTGATCTCCCGGCGGAGGAAACGCACATTTTAAATGTGGCAAATACACAAACAATGAATAAATGGATGCTCCCAGTTTCATTGGACCTTTAAGAACTCTTGCAAAGACCCATCTATATAAAACACACATCTCCAACAGATCTTTGTCGAATGCAACACCTTCTAAGTGGGCTGGACAGCATCTTTTACACACACACACACACACACACACACACACATACACACACACATTCTCTCTCCAGCCAGGAGAGCCTTGGGCACCATGAGCGGCCCAAGAGAGACCAGAGGGTGCAGTGGCTACAGCAGTGGGCGGGGATTTTGGAGACCAAGGAGGAAGCCCTCCCAGGAAACGTCCCTGGTTGGCCCGTGGGCTCCTCAGCCTGTCCTACCTGAAAGGGTTGGTGTGAAGGCAAAGCGCCGGAAGAGAAGCAAGTCAAAAGCACAAGACGCCCGCCCGCCCCCCTCGCCCTCTTCGAAGGAAAGGCAGCTAAACACCCGCCACGAACCAGGGGAGGCGTCCGCGGGGAGAGGCAGCTGGGC